CCCCCTTCAGACCTCTCAAAGACAGTTTAACAGCATAAACCACGGAGCTGAGAGCTCTTTTTTAGTCGCAGCTGAGAAATGTCAGGATTTCCTCCACTTCCCTTCCAGGCATGTCAGACCTCCCTTCCCCCTTTTCTTCAAAGAAGCCAGATTCTCCTCCCATGTTTTGAACTTGCCATATTCCTCCACCCAGTTTTCAGAGATGTCAGGTACCGCCCTCGCCCTTTTCCTAGAAAAGCTGTGTGTTTTCAGCACCTTCAGAGTTGTCTGAGTCCCTCACCGTAGAAAAAGAAAAATCAATTTTCAAGTTACTCCCCCAGTCCAGGTCAATAGTTGCCAAGTCCTTTTACACAAGCATCAAAGCCATCGCAGTTCCCCTCCTTGACATAGATTCCAAAGCGTCCACATAGTCTCCTTGAATGTCTCTTATCACAAGTCACCCAATACACCTTATCTAAAGATCAGATCCCTTGCACTGCAACTCCACTTTGCCCCTCATGCCATTATACCTTCATTTGTTGGCCCTCAGACATAAAGCAGCAACATTTCATCATATATAAAGTTTCCAGGTCTTATAGTCTGTCCACTTGAATTTGCGATGCCTATGTTATAATTGTACCAAAGGAGATGCTACAATATAAAAACAAACACATGCAACAAAAAGGAAACAAAACAACTAAACTAGCTCTTGTAGTGTTTGGGTTGCTGTTGGGTTTCTCTATACATTTTAAGGTCTTGACCTTATTATGTTATGATTTGTCGCCTAAAATTATACCTTTTATTTTTATTCATAATTTTTTTTTCCATTTTGTGAAGCACTTTGTAACCATGTTTAGATAAGTGCTACACAAATAAAGATTTAATTGTTAGATTTTCCAAAGAAACAGGCAATGGTAGTCAACAGAACATCCATTCCAATTTTCCATATTATATGTTGCAGTAGAAGATGGCAATATTAGTTGTGACAAATCAAATAACTTCTTTTCCTTCCTTTTAGAATGTAACTGACAAAGCAAGACCTTTTTCCCAAGATGAAACACGGGTCTTTGTAGTGGATGTACTGTACATTATCACCGTGAGCAGAAGAAAAGCCTCTAAGCATTTTCCCATCAGTGCTGACCTTGCTAACACTGTACCATGCGTCCACATTGCTGAAAAACCCCGTGTTGGTATGATCATAGCGAGTCAGTGGAATACTAAGTATGCTGAGGTGATAGAAATGCTACAATACAGACATGCGTAACATACTTAACATTATGAAATAATCTGTTCATGTCAGTTTGGTTAGTCTACAGCACATCTCTCTGCAGTGGTTTGATTTAATTACAAAATAAAATGCATTATTAGTGGAAAACACCCCTGTTTTTAAATGTTCTTATAATGTAAGATATCATATTTCAAGATTTTTGATTCTGCTATCAATATATAAATAAAGGAATCTATGCTATCCTTTATCTTAAACCAAAGAAACGTGTTGTGCACTCAGGGACCTCTATGACTCATATTAACTTCCTTCTATGGGACATAAATATATTTATTTGTTCCTGGCAGGTTTTATTGGGACACTTGTACATGCCATCAATAATAAATACAACAGCTGGGCACAGTCATGCTCTTTTCTTCACCGTGTCCAATATTCTACTGTGTCTTGTTGTATTTGCATCAACAGCAACAGACATTTTTGCCATGACATTCAAGCACCTGGCAGAGGAAGGTTCCCTTATTTGCCATCATTTCCTCCTTATGTACAAATCCATGCATCTAAATCAGGGGTTTTCAAACTGTGGGAGAGTAAGCCCCCCCTCGGAGAGCAAATAAACAACTCCACACACATTTTTACACATTTCAAACATCTGTGCTTTTTTTAAACACATCACATTTTCTTTTTTAACACCTCACATCACCACAACTGCGCCCCCCCTGAATAACTTTGGCACCCCCTAGGGGAGGCGTGCCCCACACTTTGAAAAGCCCTGTTCTAAATAATACAATATGTCAGTGCATTCCAATGATGGCCCATAAGAATGTTTCCTGATTTTCACTAACATAAAACACTCACTGTGATGGTAAGAGGAAACAGATGTTAACTATCGTCCGAGACAGAAAGCAAACCCCCTTGTCTTTGGAGTAGGAATAACAAAATTGCATTAGCTGCACTTCAACACACGTTGACCTTCACATTATAATATTTTCCAGTACTATGAAGATTTCACACTTCTTGCTGCAGCGATTATAAGGAAGCTTTGGTTTTCTATTAACTCTGGTAGTGAACAAGAAAGGTCTCAGGTGCAAACTTATCAAGCATTTTTAAGGATCATCAAGCACAATAAACATTTAGGGACTAAAGGATTAATTTAACTGTCAGAACTCTGCATCTGTGCCCTTTAAAGTGAACATATTATGCTTTTTTTCCTCTTTCTCTTATTTGTTATATAGGGTTTTAGTCGACGTAAAAAGGCCATTGATAGACCTTAGGTAAAGGGAGTTTGTCTCCCCAACAAAAAAACACTGATCCTGAAAAACCTGTAGCACCTCATACGGTCCAGCTGATCATTGTGATGTCAACAAAAGCAGGTAAGCAAGATCTGACACTGGCAGCGGTTGACCAATCACAATAGAGTGGTCCAGCTGGCAGACTGTTTTTTTCAGGGAGGGGGGACTTAAAGAGACAGGAGCTAAGACCAAGTGTTTTAGACTGAGGCTGAGAAGAGGAGCCACAGCAATGGACAGTAATGTTTTTTTGAACATTAGAGCATATAAACCCTTTAAGTAATTATTCAAATTAAAATTCTGAACCTGAATATGAGCTACTATGTTTTTATTAATAATATGCACCTAAGATTTATTATTGCTAAATGTGTCAAGAATTCCTTCTTTACAAAAAAACCTGATACGTCTTAACTCACATGACATATTATTTATATAATTATCATGATGCACTAAATGAAAATTAGAAGGAGTTCTAACTTACCAGAGTTCTCAAAGTCTTTATAAGAGGTAGCCCATGACTCAGACATCCCCAGCAGGGTGTTCTCCATGATCTGGATGTCGGTGATGGGACAGTTGCATTGGGGATACTCCTCGGCGCATTGACAGATGCACTGGTTGTTGCGGCAGACGTACTCTCCCTCTCCATTGCACATAATGTAGCTCAGAGCTGACTGAACAAATTTCTCCTGCAGGTATTCTGGGAAAATTACCTGAAGACCTGGAAAAGAGATAAGTGGGAGGTTTTAATCAAGCGTAACGGATTCTTTATTGTTTATGATATGAAGTACAAGCTGAGAAGAAATGCAAACCCGCTCTTGTTCATTTGTCTTAATGATGGAAATCAGTGCACAATTACACACAAAAGAAATGAAGCGTTAACGTTTTTCATCGTATATAATTAAAACACACTAGAAAGTAAACTCCTCTTTAGAATTTACAAAAGCTCACGGCAAGATCTAATGAAAAATGTGAAGAGTACAAACTACTGCATGAGCTCAATTACCCCCCCCCCCCCTTTTATTTATTGAATGTACTTTTTACTTCATAAAAAAATCTCTTCACTGCTATAATAAACACATATGTGAGAAAAAGTTACTAGAAATGAAAAAAGTGGGTGTGAAATGGCTGACTGCTCTTCCAAGATTGCTTTGTGTCATAAGCACTCATTCGGTACTTTTAAAAAGAACAGTTTCAAAGCTCTGTTCTACTTGAGTCGTTTCTGTCTGTGGTCACTCATGATGAGGCAACGTGTGATTGATGAGCGCTCTCTGGTGCCATGTTGGTTTATTCAGCACAGAATTTGTTTCCCTTCATTTGCGTTGTTTACAGTTTGGATTTGCTTGTGGTTTGCATACTCAAGTTTGAAAGAACACATTTTTATACCAGTTTATAATTTTTTATACTGACTCATATAGTGCATATTTCACTGTAGGGATCTCGTAGACGTGAAGGTGGATGAGCAGTAAAGGCTTTGTCCTCAGTCCAAGCCCAGATAAAATAAATCCTGAGCTCTACAAACCACTGGATTGGAAAAGAACTAAAAAGATTTTTTCCTTGTTGTATTAAACTGCATCTTGCGAGGCAATATTTTCTTAATGGGTTTACCTGCGTGCAAACAGTGCTTCAGCAGAAAATATGCAACCAGGAGCCAGAACATAATATGTTATTGAATGATGAATGATTGCACAGTTTTTCTTTTTTCCCCCCACCCACCTATTATCTTTCACCTAAAGCTGAAATCCATTTATACAAACATTCATGAAACAACGTAATGCTGCTGAAATGAAGAGGAAAGTGAGGCAATAATTCACACTGCATGCATGAATTATTTTCAGGTTAGAGTCAAATTGTATCCTTATTATGCTTGTGGCAATTAATGCTCATGCAAAAACATACACTAACCTGATAACAGTGGGTAATTTGAAAAGCGGATATAAGTTTTAATACAATATGTGCCAATACTTGGCTCAGGAGACAAAAGGAGAACTTCAACATCCACTGTCATGGCAACAGCCTTTAAAGAAAAAACCTGAAATACAAATAGTCAATAGTATATTCATAATTATGACTTTTAATCAAGGTCATAGCTGTATACAATAATGATGTATATTACATTTACTGTAGAAAAAATTTAACCTGAGTTGAAATGTGTGGCTACCACAGAGGACAATCTTTCACACTTTCAACTCCCCTGCCACGAAGCAACCTTTCCCTTGTAACGTCTACTCTCATTTAAATATCACTCGCTTCCCTTCTCCTCTACACCTCATCAGAACCACTGCCCATCAGCTCTGAGGGGAACAGACGGAGGGAGGGATGGAGCGAGTAAAGGGAATGGATTGATCATGTCTGACCACAAAAGAGTTGGGTTGCACGGGAGCTTTTTCTCCATCAGGCCTGTCTGCGGCCCCTGGATCCAATATTCATTTAGCTTGATGTATTCCTGGGCTTGAAACTTTAATGTGATTTGTGGGAGAATCCAGATGGCAAGTTCACGGATCAACGCGGCTCACTGACAGTGCTGGTGCCAGCGGCCGGGTGCACAATAACACCAAAGTGCCTCAGCCCTCCCTCTCTGCTTCTCCTGTCTAACCATACTTCATACCCCTAACCCTACCATCACGCACGCACGCACGCACGCACGCACGCACACACGCACGCACGCACCTTCTTTTTTTAAATGAATGTGCTGGTGCTGGGAGATTGCAGAAGGAACCATTCGGGATGCTGACACTCAGGTCAGTACTATCAGTCTTGTGATCTCTTGTTTCCACTCTCTTCTTCCCACAATGTTTCTGTCCCTTCATTTTCAGTGCCTCTCCCTCTCTCCCTCCACCTCTGCTTGTGTTCTCTGTACACATCTCTTCTGTCTTACTTCATTACACTCACTCCTACTCCCGCCACACTCATGCACATGCCCCCTCGACTCATCCCCCCCATCATCCTTTGGCTCTCATTCACTCCATCAATCACTCTCCTCATTCTTGTTTCTTCACCTCTCCGGCTCCCCCCAATCCCCAATATTCTCCCACTCGAGCATGTACTCAACTACTGGATATTCGATGTCTCGTCCACCCACTTCAGTGTAGAAATGATGTCATGCAATAAAAGTAAATCCATCAACATTTGTTAGTGCAGCGGGGAAGGATTTTGAGAGGTGGAGTCCTCCGGGCCCAAAATGAAACGAGAAACTAATCAGACTATAGAAACATTCATCTTTGTGACTTTGCTGTGTTTGTGCAGTAACATGTGAAAACTCAGAGTAACTGGACCATAAATCCACAGTTAATATGGGGCTGAGGCAGGTGTGTGGTAGAGGAAAACACTGGGTATTGGATTATCATCATTAAGGAGCTGCTGATGAAACGAAAGGTGCATATTGGAATTCCCATGCAGCCATTTGATAACCTCCAACTTCATGCTCTGTCAGTGCACATAATTCCCTGCAACCCCTATGCCTGGCTTGCTCTAAATAAATAGCGCCTCAAAATGGCAGTTAATCTCACTGCATACATCAGAGGCTGATATATTTTCTTCACGTAGGTCGGAGGATATAGGCCCTCAAACATTCCATGAATGCTAAAAAATTCTGCAACTGTGACTTTGCCTTTTCATAATGTCTTCCTGGAGAGCTCTATTTTTACATGGTGATAGATGGAGAGTGAGGGCCACAACTGAGGCTAGTAACTGCCTTGGCAAGCGGTTGCCTGCTTATTGCAATGCCACGCTCCGCCTCATAAGTTACGGTTTCATTAAAGATTAATTGACCATTGTGTGGCCGCAATTTTGCAAAATAATCATTACTTAATCCACCGGTGCAATAAAGTGCATTACTTCGATGAGGGGGCTTTAAATTACCATTGGATATTACTGTTGCAGCCATGATACAAACCGAAGACCTCTGAACTGGAAGATTGCCTGTGTTTCCCCTCAGTACATGCAGGCCTGCCCAGGCTGCCTCCCTGATCCCCAGATATTTGATGCAGCAGGGGCATATAGTTTTAAGATTTGCTGCGTGGCCCATTTCACATGAGTGACAACTGTGAGGTAAAGGTGCAGTTAGAGTAGCTATTTATCCACTTTTCATTTCTTTGCATAAATCGCTTTAGGTCTTTGACAGTGTGTGTGTGTGCATGCCCATGAATTGGGTCTGACAGAGAATAACATGTTCCACTGGAGCTATTCTCTGCTCTCAGAATATGTTAGCATTTTTTAAAGTTCTGAATGAGGTGCATTTTGCATTCAAACGGATAATGTGTTGCTGAGTCTGTGCTGAGTAGATTATTGTAGATTATCATAAGTGTTCTAAGCACTCTGGAAGGCAGCAGCTTTTGTTGTCGAACAGGGCTGAGACGCACATTTCTTTGTTTTACGTCTTATTCAAGCGTTGGTGTGTTTGTGTTGAACTACTGAATTTAATCAGTAATTTTTATCTCAAATGTCCTTTTCATGCTCTGTTTTTGTTTTTTTTGCTACATGAATATTTAGACATGGATATATTTGAAGCAGCAAAGCAGCAGGGGGATGGAAAATCCCATTTCCGAGAGCAAATTAACATACAAGTGGCTGCATATGCACACATGATACACTGTACTGTATGTATGCCACAAAAAGACTTACAGAACACAATGTGTTTTGCACTATGTCTATATATTGTTAGCTTTGATGAAACCTACTTATTTGTATTGTTAGCACAGAAAGGAAAGCAAGGATGCTGGTGCAGTAATCACAGTAAAAGCATAAATTACGTATGAAAATGGTCTTGGCATTCGATGCTCCCTGCTCCTGCTTCTAGAGTGAAGAACAGGGAACTGCTGAAATTGCATGGTGTAGCGATTGCAGGATTGAGGAGAGCAGACAGTCTGCGGAGGTAGATGAGCTCTCCACCGGCTGAGTTGTTGCCAGTTGTATTGCACACTGGACACACACGCACAAGTCGAGTTAAAGTCAGTGATTACTTTTCTTCTCTGTTCCCAGTGTGCATGATCACAGCGCAGCGAAAAACAAATTTGTAATTTCAGTTTGGAATGATGCTTAATCTGTTCAAACTGAATGTGATATTTTTTTGTTCTGAATTTGGATATTAGCTGTTTTACAAAATATGGCTTCTGCATGTAATTAGAGATCTGGTTGCTGTTGGCTGCCCGTGCTCTTCTGTTGCACTGCTCAATCTGTTCTGTCGTGCGCTGCCATGTGTCCCCGCACAGCAGTAGCAGTAGGGCCTCGGCTGGTGAGAGATGGTACCCATGTCGCACATTCGCGTGTGCACAAACACACAAGCGCATGTGCCCAGTGCGCGCGCAAACTTACACACCCTTTGCGGGCCCCTTGCAGAAATCACATGTTTTACAAGAACCCTGGAGAGTGGGGGAAGAGGGAATGTATGACAGGCTCTGACATTTCCATTTCAGATATAAAAGACACAACTGCCCTCAAAGTGTCAAGATGCGCTGTACACACGTCTCAGATCAAAAGCCCAGACTTATCACTGACATGAAACATCCTTAAATACAAAAATAATGCTAATCTGTTTGTATCGAAAAGCACATGTTTGCATTACATTTCGTTAAAGGGCAAACAATCTGCTGAGTCATCCAGTCGTGCAGTAATCTGAAATTGAAATCCAATCATTACACAAACTAAACCTTGTGGGTTGCATATTCAGTATTTTAAATATTCAAAGTGTTAGAGGTTTACATGGTAACATGTTATTCAAAT